ACAAAGTATCATTTTGTAATTGAGCTTTAAAACTATCGCAAGTTTTGCAAGTGTCGGAATGCGGTCTTTTAAAGCTGAGATTGAAGTCTTCATTAAAAATCTCGCGAAATATGGTTTCAGATACCGGTTGGATATTTTCGTTATCACATTGCTCTTTATACATTCTATACATTTGAGCTAGGTTCAAATTAGGATTTAAGTACTTCTTTTGGGAAGAAGAACGACCGTAATGCGACTCGTAAGCCGGAAACCGATTAATAAATGACCTCACAGCAGATCTAGCAAAATCAGGAGTTCTATTCGCTGAAGAACTTTTTCCACGTTTTTCAGTGCCACTTGGGTTAGATGTTGAAGAATTGATTGCTCGATGTAATGCAGATTTTGAAATTTGAATACATTTATAGAAAAACGATGTACACACTTTATTTCTCACACCCAAACTGTCAGTTAAGTAATATTCAAAGTTAAAATCATGCCTCTTTATGGGAATAATAAGCCTATTCGTTTCATTTCTGCATTTTACTAGAACTTTATCGACAAATGAACGTAATAATAAAACTTTTTGAGCCCTATTCGAATCTTGATAATAGCTGTTAAAAATTTCTTCTTGTCGAAGAGGATCTATTTTTGTTGGACAGTCCAACTTGCATTGACACAATGTCTGGCTAATGAATTTCTTTGCTTTAATTATTTTTCCTGATGATGTAATTCGCTCTCGTCCTCTTTCGACGTTTTCTTTTGATATAAACCTTTTGTGTAAATGTGGTTGCCTCATTCTTTTTCGGCAAACTTTTTTTTTTCGTGGTGACGAAAGATCTATAAAAAAATATTAATAAAAAAATTTGAAAAATATCATATATAAATAGAGAAAGGTCGATTATGCGACTGCATAATTGCATAATTTTTTAAAATCAAGTAGAAACATTATAATATTAAGTTAATTCATGTTTTAAACCTTTTACAACATGTTTCTAGAGCGCATAATATTGCATAGATTTTTACTTACAGTATAATTTTACTCTTTTTGCATAATGACCGCATAATAGGCTCCAAATTTTCAAAATAGTGCTTTTTTAACTAAGAACCATGAAAACTTTTTTCAGTTTCTTTATTTAAAAATATTTGTTTGTAAATTAAATAATAAATAAGTTTTTAAACTGTTATATAACTTTTTAAATGTTATTTTTAAAATTTAAGATTTATTAAATTTTTGGAAATTTTTCCCAAAAAATAAAAATTTTAAACTGAGTAGAATGAACACATATAGAGTAGAATTACACGACAAGTAGTAGACAAAAAAACTTACTTTTTTCCAAAAAAACGGGCAAAACTTTTTAAAAAAGGCAATTTTCTCAAACTTCGAATGCAAAACAAAAATAAAAGTTCATATTTTATTTTTAAACAATGCACAGAAAAGTTGTTTGTATACTAACAAAGAATACAAAAAAAAATTGTGAGACCGTTCGCGAAAACCAAAAAACTTACTTTTTTCCAAAAAAACGGGCAAAACTTTTAAAAAAAGGCAATTTTCTCAAACTTCGAATGCAAAACAAAAATAAAAGTTCATATTTAATTTTTAAACAATGCACAGAAAAGTTGTTTGTATACTAACAAAGAATACAAAAAAAATTGTGAGACCGTATCGCGAAAACCAAAAAACTTACTTTTTTCCAAAAAAAACGGGCAAAACTTTTAAAGGAAGGCAATTTTCTTAAACTTCGAATGCAAAAAAATATTAAAAGTTCATATTTTATTTTAAAACAATGTACACAAAAGTTGTTTGTATACTAACAAAGAATACAAAAAAAATTGTGAGACCGTTCGCGAAAACCAAAAAAATTATTTTTTTCCAAAAAAACGGGCAAAACCTAATAAAAGGCAATTTTCTCAAACTCCGAATGCAAAAAGATATTAAAAGTTCATATTTTATTTTAAAACAATGTACGGTTTTGTATTTTACATAAATAAACAAACAATTTTTCGATACATTATTTCAAAATAAAATATGAACTTTTTATAGATTTTTTGAGTTAAAAGTTGAAAAATAGTAATTTTCACAACTTTTTCCCGTTTTTTGGAAAAATAATAAGTTTTTTGGTTTTCACGAACGGCCTCAAAATTTTTTTTGTATTCTTTATCAACATAAATTTAACATAACTTTAACTTATAAACTATTTAACTATTTATTATTATTATTATTATTATTATTTATTTTTTTTAACTATTTGAAATTCGGATTCATTTAACTTTTGTATACATTATTTCAAAATAAAATATGAACTTTTTATAGATTTTTGGAGTTAAAAGTTGAAAAATAGTAATTTTCACAACTTTTTCCCGTTTTTTGGAAAAATAATAAGTTTTTTGGTTTTCACGAACGGCCTCACAATTTTTTTTGTATTCTTTATCAACATACAAACAACTTTTGTATACATTATTTCAAAATAAAATATGAACTTTTTATAGATTTTTGGAGTTGAAAGTTGAAAAATAGTAATTTTTACAACTTTTTCCTGTCCTGTTTTCTAAAAAATATTTTTTTTGTAGTTATTAAGTATCGGGGATAGTGCTTCTTTTCGAAAATATATAAAATTGTGTTTTTTGTCGTAAAACAGGCCTGCATACGGCAATAGTTAGCGAGTAAGGGGAAAGGAGTGGGGCACATTACTTTGCGGGTTTTCCTTCTTTCTCTTTGTCCCTCGGCCTGCTTCACAAGCCTATATGTTGGGATGGTGGGGGCTGTTACTGGTTTCCCCTTAGTCACTGTCTGCTCCCGTGTGCCGGCCTGTATTAGAGTGATCGCATGGCGCGGGCCTTTTCGTTCACTGAACGTTCGTATCTTCAAGTTAATTTGAAATTCGGATTCAGCGGGAAAAAAACAAGGAAATATACTATTGTTGTTGGACCTTTTTTTGGGAAAAAGTCGGAAATTTTGTTTTTGCCGAAGGTTCTAACTATTTTGTTTAAATTCTAGATGAATAAACAAACAAATTTGCTGTGGACAACTTTTAAATAAAATATAGGCATCAAGAAGTTTTTTCGCTTTGAAGTTGGAGAAAATCGCTATTTTAATGGCAGATCAAAAATTTAAGCACATCATATTTTGGAAAAATATTATTGAATATCATAACTTTTAGAAAAAATTGATAAAGTACCAGTTTTCATGTATTAATCAATTGTTTTCGTATTGAAAAAATGAGAAGCAATTAGATGACAGGTTAAAAGATCGATTTTGTAAAGGTAAAATTATAAAACAATACATTAAACAATATGACTTGGTATTTTCCCAAATGATTATAATTATCTTATTTGGAGTGAAAAAATTTATATTCAGCTTACCTTCGATTTCTTTACCTTCTTCGGATGTTTCACTACTGATTAAATTACTCGTATCCGAGTCTGTTGATATATTATATATATCTTCATTGGCTTCTGCAAAGGAAATTACAATTAAAAATTTTTCTAACAAAAAACTTAATGAAAAAAAAATTTTTTTCATTTATTTAAAATATTATTTTTCTTACCTTCTGGTTGAGAATTCATTTTAAAATTAAAACGTATACACAAAATAATTTCAATATACACTAAAATTAAAATGTCTTTACAAATTTTAGAGAACTTTTTTAAGTGTATAAAAATGAACCACTTTCTGATAAATTTGAAAAATTCTGAAACTGCAAACTGCACTTGTGCTCAGGTTCAAAGCGGGGAAAAGACTGAATTCTAAAATGGCTTTTTCAAGCTTCAGAAAATATTCAACTGAAAATAATAAGCACAAAATCATAAAATTTCGACAAGGTGCAAAATGTACATAGTACCTGAGTACCTAGAGCGCATTCAATTTGCCCTCGCTGAGCCGATTTTTATTATCTGCGGACGGTAGGTATCGAGACAAAGTATCTGACGACCGCCAGGCAAGAAAATGTTTGAGAAAATATTATAGATGTTTTCCAGTAAAAATTATTACATAGAAAAATTGAAAAGTCTTAGACAATTTTCCAGCAATAAGCACAAATAAAAATACATTAAAATAAACATTTAACATATTGTTTTGTTATAATTGTTTTTAATTATTATTAATCATTGTTTTTTATCCAGAGTTATAAACATTAAAATATTTTTAAATTACGGACTTTTGTGCACTAATTGTTTAAAAATCTTTTATGCAACTTTAAAATTACCATAACTAACTAAAATAATGCTTAAAACTTCAACGATTGACCTATTTGTGAAAAATTTTATTTAAAAACATCGGGATTATTAATGTTTCAAAAATCAAAAATAACGAATAAAATTATAATAAGTATTTAATTTTTATGCAAAGTTTTAATATAATATTAAATTTATTTTATAAAAGCTTAAAAAGACATTTACGCTTTTATACGCGTGTATTTTCAAGTGCATCGGTAGCCCTGTAAAGGCTATCTCGAGAAATTTTAGAAGAAAAAGAAAATATGTCTCACTGACGGGATCTCAGTTCGCAGCGAGAGTGTGTATGTGGTCGCATGGTATGACATGGTGGGGGAGCTACGAGCAAAAGTGATTTAAGTTTTGACTGGGAGCAAAAATGGGTTAGACCCTTAACCCGCTTTTGCTCCCAAATAAAAGTAAATCCACTTTTCCACGCAGCATTTGTTTAACCCATTCTTACGCCCAAGAAAACTCAACTCACTTTTGCTCACACTGTTTGGTCATCCCGCTTTTGCTCTCAGCCCCTCATATATCCTGTGGTGATTGGTGCGAAACCCCCTGTGGTAAAATGATACGCAGGTCCAGATAATTCCACTGGACCTTGGTCTCGCCAGGGTTCCGCCACCTGGGGACCATGACAGTTCTTTGATTACGGCACGTGCCACACGTCCATCTCAATTGAAAACTACTTCTTTTTTTTATTAAAAATTTCTACTTAAGAAGAAGAACTTCGGTATAAATTTAGGTTTAATGATTTTAATCTCTTTTGAAAAATAAGCACTATTAAAGGGTAAAATTTTCTTTTCCAGTGGCGTACCAAAAACGGCTAAAGAAGGAACGGAGAGCAAGAAGACGACTTCAGGATCAGCTGGATCTGGAAGTTAAGAGGCGCAATCAATTAGAGGATGCACTGAAGGCCACCGGTGCCTCGACAGAACAAGTCAGATCCATAACCGGTGAGTGTTTCTATAACAAGTAGAGAGGTCCGAATTTTGGGGACTCTAAATATTTTGTAGCTAATACCGAATATCCTAGTTTTAATAATCAGTTTGTTAAATTATTGAACAAACATTGTTGCTAAATGTGGCTAAGGAGGTAGAAATGGATTAAAATTTATACTATCTATTCCCCGACAGCTTCTAAACTTGACAGGCATGGTTTACAACATTGCCTTAATATTCTAAAACTTGAAGACAACATTTATAACATTGCCTTAATATTGTAAAGCTTGCAGGCAACATTTACAACCTTGCCACAGTATCGTAAAGCTTGCAGGCAACATTTACAACCTTGCCACAGTATTGTAAAACTTGCAGTAATGTTGTCAATGTTGCGCCTACAAGTTTAGATCCCAAGGGGAGTCTTAAGTCTCTGACCAGGAATCTTAATCTGAGAATAAATTAATTCATATAATTCTTGAATAAACAAACTTACACCCGACAGAATATGATTCCTTACTTATCGACCCTCTTCCTACATTCAATGAAATCTCCGTTCTTGTTTAAATGCTTAAATTCCAATTCGCTTCTTCGTTTCAGAAGTAAGTTCTACATCCGACAGCAACACCCCACCCCCATCTGTCACAACCAAAACTCAAACATGAAACCCTTTAAGTGAAATCTCTTATTCTGATATAACGTTTCATGCCTCCTTGCCATTTTCGCAGTTTGCTGTTGATTAACCCTGTCAGTCACAGAGAGAGAGAGTGAGTCGCGATATTAATTTCAAATCAAAAAAAATTACCCACGAATATTACACATGTACTGTTTTCTCAAAGTGAAAAGTCATTACTAAACGAAATTCTTTTTTTCTCTTAGTAGATAATTTGCTTTGTGACCTAAATAGTAGATTCTAGTAAAACTGTCTTTTATTTTTTGCAGAAAATGTCAAAACAGAGACTCGAACGAGTGTAGAACAATCTGAGGAGAATTCGATACACTCTCAATCACAGCAATCGAATAATCAACAGCCAAATTCTCAAACACCTGTTAAACAATCCCAACAACAGCAGCAACAACAATCTCAACAACAGCAGCAGCAGCAACAACAAAAACAACAAACACAACAATACCGAGAGGCACAAGTCTCACGTCCACCTCAACAACCACCAACACCTGAGAAACCAGGTTGGGGATACAGTGGACTCGATCTCATTAGCAATCAATTCTGGCAAAATTACCAAGGTCAGTATATATATAAATTATCATTCCTATCATGCTTTTCTTGGGGAAAAAAAAGTCAAACAAAAAACTTTTTAATCCCGCGTGAGACTCGGATTGCCGAAAGAGATAATCGGATTCGTGTATTAGAACCCACTCAATTTTTTCAGATCTTCCAATCGAGTTGGCTCGATCCCAGATTTATCCGAAAAATCAACCAAGTTCGTAATAGTTCTCCCCCTTAAACATATTCTCGTTATTGGAGAGAATACCTGCATATGTATATATGCAATATTCTATATGGTTTTCAAGCCGCAGACATGCGAAAATTTGAAAGTAAATTATTCGAAAGATTTTGTACGGGAGCAATCGGCGGTAATAACGATCCTGCGAACAGGGAATGGAGATAGAGAGAGAGAGAGAGAATGAGAGTGAGTGAGAGAGTGAGAATGTCTGTTTGACGTGGTAGGAGAAGGTATCTCTCAAATAGGGTCCCAAGAGCCACCCCGGCATCGTGATGCGGAATCCATTTGCAATAAACAACCAAGATTTAGTCAGGAGAGGGGAGGGCTAACTTCGTCCAAGGTAGGTACTTACGTCCCTGATGTGAGAGGGGACCTCTGAGCCGACGCGTCTTCCAGCTATGCATTCTATACGAGAAGTGATTTTCTCTCTTGAATTTCAGGACAGTTTAAGATTTTACTAACTTTTGTATGTATGCTTCATTTTTTATTCTAAATTGGATCTTCTTTTTCACCTCTTTCACTTCGTGTCACCTCACAGTTTTTAGTTCAGTATATTATTTCAAGAATGAACTATTGATAAGAAATATTATTTATTACCACAAACAATATGAACAATAGCCTTTGTAAATGAGGATTAACCTCAAAAACACAGGTAATATTTTCTTTCTCCCTTAATCGCATGGAAGACTATTGATACAAATCTAATACAAAGTGAAGAGGTAACGACAATCTTTCCTTTTCACACCAAGGCAATATTCCAAACGACATAAGACATTGCTTTAATATTGTAAATCTTGTCAGCAACATTTACAACTTTGCCTTAATAGTGTAAAGCTTGCAGGCAACATTTACAACCTTGCCTTAATAGTGTAAAGCTTGCAGACAACATTAAGAACATTGACATAATATTGTAAAGCATGCAGGCAACATTTACAACATTGCGATAATATTGTAAAGATTGTCGGCAACATTTAGAACATTGATTTAATATTCTAAAACTTGCAGGCAACATTTACAACATTGTCTTAATATTGTAAAGCTTGCAGGGAACATTTACAACCTTGCCTTAATAGTGTAAAGCTTCCAGCAATGTTGTCAATGTTGCCTGCAAGTTTAGATCCCGAGGGGAGTCTTAAGTCTCTGACCAGCAGAAGTAAAACCATAGATTTAATTTTATTAACAACATTGTTAGGAATCGATTTTTAATACTAATATAAATTGTAAATCTTATTTATTATTAATTTAAAATGAACTCTTAGTAACGAAAAGAATATGCTCTTCAGCAAATTAAATTTGAACAAGGTAATAGGTTTCTTCTCTTTACAATTATTATTTCAACTGTAAGTTTAATGTGCAAACATATTTTGAAAAGGTTCAAACCCAAAAAAATCTCATTCACCAATTAGTATTATGATTTATTTATATTCTAATAAAAATACAATTTCATTACTTGAATGTGTGTATTAATGTCGTGTCTGTGTTTTAGTTTTTTTCTACTTACAATTTCTGTTTATGATATTCTGCTAGGTATAATCCTCAATTATTTTCTCTATTTATCTAAATACACAATTATCTTTTAATAGTCGTGAGTAGACTTTGCTTGTAGGGAAACCGTGCCCTTAGGTCTACACTTGTGACCAAAATCGTTGACTTTATTCTCAAAAACAAACTGGCTAAAAAGCCTAACTTAGTCTCGCCAAGTTTAACGAGCTACTACTGCCTTACTTAGTTTCGCCAAGTTTACGCGGGCGACTGTCCGCAGATTTCTCCATGTCAATTGTTTTTATAGAATGACAATTAAGTGGGGAAATCCTCATTAAAGTTTATTGCACATATTTCAATAAAATGTTGTTGTAAGATGTTTTGTGTGTTTTTAGGTTACAGAAGATTGATTTTTAAATTGATTCGATATAATAGAAATGTTACGAAGTCATACGTATAACAGACATAATCGTTAATGTAGATAGTAAAGGGAGAGGAACTTTGAGGAACACATTTTTTGGTTACAAGACCCTAGACAAGAAGTTTTCTAATCCCTTCCAAAATGGTTGATATTTTGATTTAGATTTAGAAAAAGAAGTCGAAAATATTCATGCTGAAGTGAAGTATCTTGCAAGTTATCCAATTTACCCGACGACAGGTCGCATGCTCTATATTTTAGAGTTGATAAAAATTCGAAGAGCACTGTAGGTAATGCAAAGCTTATGTATCCATGCGTCCTTCTCTCGTTCTGTAGTTTTCTCTCTCTCCGTCTTTCTCTTCCTCTTTGCCGCGAGTATAAGCAAGGAATTGTAATTTCCCCGGCGGCCACCATAGTTCTCGATGGCGTTACCTGTCTTTCCTCTACAACCCACCACCCTTTCTCCCTCTTATATGATTCCTCCACGTCCAACCATCCACCCTGAGTGAGTACGACGAAGCACTCCACCACGCTTTAATATTCAGACTATATGCAATAATTTCGCAGCGACCATAACCTCTCTCTTTCTCTGAAACGCGTCCCCAGCGACCCCTACCTCCTTTCTTCTTCTCGAAAGGTAGTTGCGCCTTTCCTGCGAATAGATGGATACATGAAGACAACAAGAGGGATAAGTGATCAGGAAGCTGAGACACAAAAAGGGACAGAGAAAAAACTTTGTCTCGTTTTTAGTTTATACTCAAGACTCAACGTATAGCAGCCGCAAACATTCGAATTCGACGATTTTTATTTATTCCCGAAAGTGGTGCATTTTGGCTTACTCTCAATTATTTTTTCTACTGCGGTGAATTCGACATAATGAAAAGTTAAAAAACTTCAACAATAGACAATTTTATTTCAATATATTTATAACCCGTGGAGTTGAGTTAAAATCGAAGTATACCTCATTCACTGTATAGTCGGATTGGTCAACACTTTAACAGTTATTTTTGAAATTTATAATAATCAAGTTTCAGAGATAATATATATTGCAAAGTGTTCTCTATCATCCACTGTAATTCCATCATCATATTGATTTTCTAAAATGGAAAATTTCATGAACGATCAAGTGCAGAGTGCAATGAACAGTCAACAGTAGATAATTCTATGCATACCCATATATGAAAATCAGTAATTAAATTCACAACTTTTCTCCTTTGGAAATATATTGTCCGCACATAAAAAGTGGAAATAATATACGCAGGAAAAATAGGACTTCATGATGCTTTACAATTTTTAAACAATAAGTTAAAAATGAAAACATCTTATATGCAAGTATTTGGTAACTCTAACTTATACATATTATATGATTGATGTGAATAGAAAGAATGCTTTTGTTCAAATTTTGTTTCCTTTAAAGATCCTCTTACAGTGGGGCACGCGTCAAACTATATCAACTGATATAAGATCTTGTTTTCAAAATATTGAAATAAAATAAATAATGGAGTGTCGACGCTAACTTTAGGAATTATTAGCATAGCTTAACTGGCCATTCAGCTGAGAACTAATTTCTCCATGATAAAATTTAAAGAAACTTCATTTTCAAGAAATTGGTTATTACCAGAAATTATTTGGGTTTAATGAAACAATTGTGGATTATAAAAGGAATTATTACGCATTGAAGAAATATGTTAGAGAGAGTGATAAAGTGTAACGCGTGAGTACTGGTAATATAAACTCCATACTGAGGAAGCGGCAACCGAAAGGGGTGGGGAGGGGGAGTGGAATACATCCCCTGCATGGTGCATGCGACCGTCGGGAATATATCTACGAGACACGACGAGGTTTTCCGGTGAACGAGCCACCTTGGCTAGAAGCTCTATTTATACTCGATGATGGCAAAGAGGGTATACACCTTCGACCCCTCTTTCAAGGACTAGAATTGATCGTGTAATGATAACGACTCACAATTTCGTCATTTTTCTATTGCCTCCCTCAATGTGATGCCTTAGCGGTGGGGGAAAGGATAAAGGAGGCTGGTTTTTAGGCGTTTTTCGTTGAATTCTTTATAAAAGAAAAAATATCGAAGAAGTACGATCTGGGAACCTAAGAATGCAAAAAAAAATTTGTATGCACTTTTTTAAAGTTCTGTAATATCAAACGAAAATTTTTTTTTCTAAAAGTCCGTTACCTTATCTAAAAATACTATTTTCCTGCTTTAAAATGTCTTTTGAAACTTGAAAAAATCTTCATCTGTCTCTGAGATATCGTCTTTTGAAGTTTTCGAAACTGGGAAGTCACAATTGCAAAATTCAAAATGGCGGATTCAATATGGCGGATGAATTTTTGAAACTTCAATGGATTTGTTTCAAATTTGTCACATAGGGAGTTTTCGGGGTCGATGATTACGAAACTGAAATCGGATTTCCAAAATTCAAAATGGCGGATCCAATATGGAGGCGGAGTTTTTGAAATTTCAACGAATTCGCTTAAAACTTGTCACAAGAGGGACGGAATTTAGGAAACTTCAATGAATTTGGTCCAAACTTGTCACTTTGGGTTTTCGGAGTCGTTGATTACGAAAATGCCATCAGATTCTCAAAATTAAAAATGGCGGATCCAATATGGCGGCCGAATTTTTGAAAGTTTAACGGATTCGCTTGAAATTTGTCACTCGGGGGTTTTCGGGGTCGCTGATTACGAATGTGACACTAGATTTTTAAAATTAAAAAGGACGGATCTAATATGTCGGTTAAAATGTTTTTAAAATTGAACGAATTGAATAATGAAATTCAAAATAGTTTTCATCGAGATAGACAGCAATTTTTTCCACATTCTTTTTTTTACATTGATCGAAACATTGAATACATTGTCCATAACCATTTACATTTGCTCGTGAACGAAAAAAGGGAAATCGGTACGGCGCACAGGTCTCGGGAGATAAAAAGCTATTCCCACCTCCCGGAGGCACGATTTTACAATAGACGGGAAAAGAAAGTCTGTGAGTAAGACAGAGAGAAAGAGAAAATGTATAGAAGTGATACGCTAACGTTGGAGATGGAGTATCGTCGCCTACGGAAATTTGAAATTATATTAAGATAGGGATTTGAAAGCGAGAGGGCACACGCGGGGTGTGTCTCCGCTTCTGTACTTCCTTTTTTCCATCTTTCTCTCTCTCTCTCTCTCTCGATTCATACAATTTCACGGTTGGCTTGAAGCACGAGCGCTCGCGCCCCGTTGCCACTTCACTGTTTTACATAAAGATCAAGAGCATTAAAAACGCACGTTAGACGAAATCAACCCTCAGGTGTACACGTTTCACAAATATCTCGATCCCTTTTTACTTTTTTCGAGTATTTCACCAATTACTGTTCTCTGATATGATATTTTTTAAATTGCTTTTTTGTCTTTATCTTGAGTGCACTTGGATCTTTTCTTTTATCGTTCAAATTCGTATAATTTGTAAAGATTGTAAAAAATTTATGTAACATACAAAAGTTGTTTTCTTTTTTACAAAAAGGAAGAAATGAAGAAACTTTTTTTTTTATTGTCTTGTATTCGAAGCATGTTTTTTTTTTTGAGATGCATTGTGGTCAAGTTAATTATCAAATAAACGCAGAGTCATAGTCATTCTTGAACGAGGGGGGATCTGAGAAAAAATTGAGCTCTGAATTCAGCATCATCTTGCAACAATACATACCGTTTAGTTCTCCAAGTCTCGTTCGAAGTGTTCTCGAAATTATTTTCATTGTCTGCTCGATTTGTCAAGGTGTGTAAGACGGGTAGCGAAACTATTAGTCTTGATCTCCTTTGATGAGCGTGCTATGCGTTCCTATACATAACATGCACACTCCAAAAGAAGCGATTTCTAACTTTTTAGTTTGCCACACTGATTCGAGATGCATCATTCTTTGAAGAAACGTGATCGTTGAGGACAAAATGTCTTTTAAGTTTGGAAACATTCCAAAGTTATTTTAATTTTTTGCTTAAATAAATATTTATTTGAAAAAATGTCATCTAGTGTTGAAAAGTGTTGCAAAGACATTACATGTGCTATTCCTAAAATCTAGGAAGTATAATCTTCCTTATCATCCTAGCTGTGCATTACAACTTTCTACTTTTCCTAATGGGTCGTTTGCTAGGTGCTGTAAACTTTCATCGTCGTCTTCAACTAATTCAAAATTCTTACAGACTTCTGTCCACTTAGATAGTATTTTAAGAGTAATTGAGGATCTATCAACAACAATGTCTGACAACTTTTCTACTATGACTGAAAATATGCTAGACACCAACAACAAACTTGATGATACGTTGTCTAGGATTACAAATAAGCAGAGTTTAATTTGTAGCTTTAACTTTTAAAGCGCCAACCTAGATTTATTTTTTAGTATTGTTACCTGTGTAATTAATTAGATTTAGAAGTACTATGTACGAAAGGATTTGATGTCCTATCAAATAAATAAATTTCTCAAGATGGTTTTTCTCTCTAAACGATTCATTGTTCCCTTTTTGGATGACAAAAGAGAAATAACATATCTTGCAAGCATTTAAATTGTCATTTAGATATCAAAGGGAATGAAACACCCGGCGCGTGGATAAGGGCGCGAAAGGTAATTTGGCTCAGTGAAACGCAAACATTGCGACAAGCGTACGAGCTTAGCCTTGACGAACTCTCAACGATTCACACCCACGTACCACGAAACAGCCCTCAGCTATTGTTGCTCAAAGCATAATGGAATCTCGGTCCCGTCTAGTTACGCTACAGCCGTTCCTCCAAGCTCTGCCAGTTAACCAAGGCTTAATGGCCTTGCAATTGGATTTTACCATTGGTCTTTGCCTAAGGAGGCACCATTTCACGCTTCTCGATCCGATCTTCTCCTTCACCCTTCAGTACCTCACTGAATTTCTCCCTCTCCACAATAGCTCGTCTCATCGCTAATCACCTTCATCTTGTGCATCATCTTCAATGCGGATTTGAGCCGAGTATTTTGTGATTTAACAAAAGCAAATCTTAATCCGTTTTCTATGCATTATGTTTCCTTTTATTGTTAAGGTATTTTTCTCTCTCCTGATGGAAAGTTTTATAGACAAATTTATGTAACCCCGATGGGATACCCAATTTATTTCAGATATTGTTATGGATCATCTGGAAACTGATTTTAATGTTTAAAAACATTAAAAGAAAATTACAATTGGGACACAAGTCTAATTGTGAAATATGTAAAGAAATTAAAGAAAATTAGATTATGCGTAATGCTATGATAAATTTAAGATGGAATATAAAGATATATTTGGCCGTAATAATGCGTGTAGTATTAGTTATGTTGATGTGACGATGGGAGATCCTAGGCGGTAGGTAATCTTGAGGTCTTTTTCTCCTCGGGAGGCTCTTGTCAATAGCTCCTTTTTGGCACGTTCGTATTCTGATTGTTGGTGTTTGGTTCTGTCGGGGGCAATTGAAATCTGCATATTCTGGGAGTATAGTTGCTTTGTTTTTTTGAGAGTAATGAATGAGCTGTGTACCTGTGAAGGTATAGTGTCGTTTGTAAAGATAACTTTTGTTGGTATGTGCTTGGTTTGAGTAACAGAAGATTTGCCAATTCGACAAATTTTAGTAGCATTAATTGCTAAATTGGGTAATATAAGGGAAAATAGAGGTTCTAGAGCATACTAGTTTTTATTTTTTGTGCAGGCTTTTAAATTTTGTATAGTATCCAATTTTTTGTGTTTATACATTTTGTACATAGTGGTTTTCATTCTTTGTAGAGATTTTTACTTCCTGTACAACTTTTTATTTCTTGTTACGCTTTTTACTTCTTGTGCGCAGGTTTCTTTTATTTCTAGATAGGGTGAATATAAAGATAAACCAGGCGTGAATTAATTTTGATGCGATATCATTAAAGGGACATTTTCCACTTTTCACCCTAATCTATGTGGAATTCAGTGAGGTCGTTTCTCGATCGCGTTTACGCCTTTCTTGGTCCGTTATCCCACTCATCCCTTTCATGCTTCTTCTACTAAGGCTTCTGCTAATTACTGTTTCGTACTTTCACGCGCCGCTGAAACCGCCGTTCTTTGGACCAAAGAATTAAATTCTGGTTCCTTTTTTTTGTTCAAGTATTTTTTTTTATGTTGTTGTTATTTCTATACTTATCTAAAAATAGAAACGAGATAAAAAATTATTCCTTTTAGCAGTCAGTGTTATTTTTCCTTCGCTATGATCTTAAAATGATCTCGAACCAGATTAAGATAGTAGGACTAGGGTTAAGGTTGATTGTTCGGATAGAGTTAGGGATGCCTGGGCTATTGATTAATAATGATCAAATTTATGATTCTATTGTTACAGCTCATGCATTTATTATAATTTTTTAATAGTTAGACAAAGTATTAAAGAAACTAGATAATTACCAAACTAAAGTGGATCAAATTTTTCTTATCGCCAAATCGAACTAAGGTGGGGATAAAAGAATTATTTTATTTTACCATCACTTGAAAGGACGATTCGAACAAACTTTCTTCTTACAAAAGGAGTTAAATGATTTCATCCCTCAGCATCAGGGTGTTTATAATCCTCGTCGTCGCGAGTAAGGTCACTTAGCGAAAGGGTTCCCTAAATGAATTAAGCATTGAACTTGGAGTAAGCAGGAAGATCGGGTATTTTGATAATCATTCCACCGAAAAAAAGGGTTGAAACTTGAATAAACAAAAAACCTACTGATTCTACTATTTTTCTCCATCTTTCTGTTTACTTTTACAAAAACCCACACTTGATAAATCCTTACTATACATAATCATTAAAAATTATAATTTCACATACAGTATCCTTTTTAAAAGTTTTGTCTTTTTTTTGTCCCAGAATCGATGCCACCCGACTTCGAACTGGAGAGAAAGACACGTCAGCATCAGACCTCCGAAAGGGACCAGGTCAAGTCTCCTCTTCAAGGTGCGTCGATCGAAAACTTTTGTCTAGTATATCTATTGTCATTTAATGATTAAACGAATTTTTGAATTGATCGTTAATAGTGATTCTCTTTTGCATTTGAGTGGTACCTCTTATAGGAGTGAAACTTTTCCCACCGGGGGGTGGAAAAGGGTGGTTAAAGTCTCGAAAATGCCATCTAAAGTTGAAACTCAGCGTCTGCAGTCATTTTCAAGTGTATTTGTGTGTGTGTGTGTTGCCAGTTTCTTACGATCGCGAATAAACTTCGATCTTTAATTAGAAACTCAGTGGAGGGAGAGGAATTGAGGGGTCTATAGTTGCGCCTGGTGGGTTTCTTGTAGCGGCGTCAGCGGCACTACTATCGGCAGATTTCGAAACTTGGTCCTGAGAAACTTGCAAACGAAGAGCGGTCAAAACTTTTCTCAGCAAAAAGCTATCGAGAAACGCGACTTAAACGTTTTAGCGTCAAGCCAAGGCTGTGTGTGGATGTAAATAATTGTTTTCCCATCGCGAATTAATTTCTCCTAGAGGAAAACTTTTTTTTTTTGGTTTAGAAAAAAAAATTCAATAGGGAATTCATATTTGTTTTTTTGGATATTTTATAAATAAAATAATTTACGAACTAAAAAATTGATTTGTGCCAAATCACCGGGAAGATATTATCAAATAAATTGAATGGGTCCTTTAGAAGAAATTGAGCAGAGAAACCGGATTTTTTTCTTTTGGAGAGAGCGGGAGGGGAGGAAGAAGGAAATGAGGGATTGAAGGGATTATTAGTGTAATCTTTTTCAATCATAAGCGACAGTTCGATAAAAAGTCGAAAGGCGGCGAGAGCACTCAAAGAAGAGAGCGAAACGGAATGACTCGACTGGCCCCCGATTTACGAGGTCTTCTACTTTGCTTTTTGACGATAGCCACCCTCTTCTTTCTTCGCACTCTCTCGTGACTCTTATCGCTTCTTTTTCTTTTTTCCCTCCCTCCCCCCCCCTCTCTCTCTCCTTCACTCACTCGTGCCGCTAACCTACGCAGCCAGCGATAATTAGTGAGCGGCGTCTTTTCTGAATAAACGAACAAGACGCCATCAAATGATCCCCAAGTCTCTCAGTCAGATCGTCACAAATCGTGATCATTCATATACATATCTTAATCAATATGTTGCTAAAAAGAAAATATTAATTTTAAAAAAATTTTAATTAATCGAAAAAACTTGTACTGATCAATTAAAATAAATTTGACACGCTCTGAAGAAAGGTGCATAGAAAGTTAATATTTTTAGGTTATGATTGTAATTTTTAAAATGAAACTATACAAAGAGGATCAACTCTCAATATATAAACTATACTGATTTTCAAATCTTTATTAATTTTTTTCATAATTTCTGAATTAAATTATTTATACTTGAATAGTTTTAGTTCGATACACAATAAATGGATAAACAAATGAGCACTTATATTATATATAAATTTATTTTTTCACAGGAATTAAATTTTTTAATAATTTTTATATAAAAGCTTTTTAAAATTAAACTAGTTCTAAACATTCATACTATAACGCCTTTAGTATTCAATTATAATATAAAATTTTATCAAAAAATTCATTTCTAAATCAATTATAAATTTTATAATTAGAAAGTTCTACAAGAAATCAATTATTTAAATATAAATAATTGATAGAATAATTGATTATTTCTTAAAATTGAATACTTATAAAGAATTTTATCAAAATTTTTGAAAATAATTGATTTCTTTCCAAGAATTTCAATAAAACTTGGGAAAATAATTTAATTTTTAGAATTTTATTAAATTTTTATAAATAATTGTAATCCTGTAAAAAATTTTACTATTTGTAAAAATAATTAAAATCTTACAATGATATTTTATTAACATTTTTGGAAATAGTTAAATTTCTTAAAATCATTTTGTGAAAATTTAGAACATTTCAAATATTTCGAATAATTTGATTAAAATTCTATAAAAAATTAATTAAATTCTTGCAAAGAATTTAATTGGATTTTTTTAATTAATGGAAGTCCTGTGGAAAATTTTATTACATATTATTTTATTTTGTAAAAATAATTGAATTTTTGCAATGAATTTAATTAAACTTTTTTAAATTATTGAATTCCTGTGGAAAATTTTATTATTTGTAAAAATAATTCAATTCTTCTGAAGGATTTTATTAACATTTTTGGAAATAATTGAATTTTTTTGAATTATTGTATGAAAATTTAAAAGAACATTTAAATTATTTCAAATAATTTAATTAAAATGTAATTAAAAATAATTGAATTTTTTGCAATGAGTTTTATTAAACTTTTTTAAATTATTGAATTCCTCTGAAAAATTTTCTTTATTTGTAAAAATAATTAAATTCTTGCGATGAATTTTATTAACATTTATGAAAATAATTGGGATTTTTTAAATCATTTTATGAAAATTTAAAAGAATAATTGAATTATTTTCTAAGTTTTAACTAAAATTGTATTAAAAATAATTGAAATACTGCGACGAATTTTATTATTTGTAAAAATAATTTAATTTTTGCAGAGAATTTTATTAAATTTTTTGAAATACTTGAATTCCTGTGAAAAATTTTATTACTTGTAAAAAGAAAAAATTGAATTCTTGTAAAGGATTTTCTTAACATTTTTGGAAGTAATTGAGTTTTGTTAAATCATTTTATAAAAATTTAAAAGAATAATTTAATTATTTCGATTAATATAATTAAAATTGTGTTAAAAATAATTGATTTTTTGTGATGAATTTTATTCTTTATAAAAATAATTTAATTCTTATAAACAAATGTTATCAAAATTTTCGAAAATAATAATTTCTTTAAAGATTTTTTTGAAAATATATTAAATAATATTGATTTCTTTCGAAAAATTTTTTTGAAAATCGTAATTCAAATAATTGAATTCCTGTGGAAATTTTATTATTCATGATATTAATTAAATTTTTTCCAAGAATTTTATTAATTTTTTTTAGAATAATTGAAAAACTTTTTAAAGTAATTTTTAATGGTTTAAAATACAATTAATGTAATTTATTTTATAAGAAATCTTACAATTTTTTTTATTGTAATGTTTTGTTTAAAATATTTTTTATAATTTTTTTAACTGAAATATTTCAGTGATTGCTTGGAGTTTAATTAAATTGCATTTAAAATAATTAAATTTTTGAAAATAATTGAATTTATGCATCGAATTTTATTATTTGTAAAAATAATTTAACTCTTGCCGAGAATTTGTTTAAAAATTTTTTTAAATAATTGAATTTTTGACAAAAATTCTTGAAAATAATAAAATTCTTTTAAGGAATTTAATTAAAATTATAATTTTAAAGTACCTTATTTAATTCTTCTAAAGAATTTTATGAAAATTTTTGGAAATAATTGTCATTCTTTTAAAGAATGTCATTATAATTTTAAAAAACAATTGAATTATGTCGAGAAATTCAAATTTTTATGAAAACAATGGAATTCTTAGGAAGAATTTTATTAAAATTCCTAAAGATAATTGAGTTCGTGGTGCGAAGAATTTGGTTATTTATGAAAATAATTGAATTTTTGCTAACAATTTTACTAAAAAAATTTAATAATAATTAAATTCGAAGAATTTCATTATTTCTCACAATAATTATTGAATTGTTTCAAAGAAATTTATAACACATTTTTGAATTTATTGTTTCGAAAAAGAATTATATTGAAATTTTTAATATTAACCGATTTATTATTGCAAATTTTCAAAGAAGAAAAGAAAAAAGAAATTCAAATTTTAATGAAAACAATTAAATTCTTAGGAAGAATTTTATGAAAATTATTGAAGATTTAAGAAAAAAGTAAAAAGAAGAAAGTTTTTAGTGTCATAAATTTAAAAAAGTATCGAAATATTTAGTAGCAAATAGTAAAAAAAAAGTTAAATTTTGTAAAAGTATTTTACAAATTGGGGAAAAAATGCAGCAAAGAGAAATATTAAAAAAAAATACTAAACTTTACTAAAACTTATGTGAAGTTTAGAATATTAATTAAATTTTAGTATAAATTTAGTAAATGTCCTATAACTTTTTTTAAAGTTTAGTATTTGTTATTTCAAAATTTCGCTTTGTCGCATTTTTTCACCAATTTGTAAAATACTTTTAAAGATAAACACAAGTGCAGAGAATTGCTTGTTTGGTACTTTTTCTTCAGAGAGCGTCTCAAAAAAATAAAAAAAAATTCTCCAATTTCTACATAACATTTTTTTTCTCTGTTACAGATTCCCGTGCGGGTTATTACAAAAATTCCGTTCTCTTTACAAGTGCAACTTAGAAAAACTTGGAGGACAGGCGATAAAAAAAAAAAAAAAAAAAGAAAACAAGGACAATCGCAAATTATCGGAATTTCGAGTGACCAAAGGATCCCTTTTTGGAAGGGATGAAAATAAAGTCGATCTTCTCACGTATAGTAGAGATCAAGATGACTGGACAAAAAAAATGAAGACGATAAAAAAGAAAAAGAAGAGGCTGAATTGCTGCTTTTCAGTGATATAAATAATAACATTCGTGCAACTATTCTATATAAAGAAAAATAAAACCGACCTTTAAAAAAAAAAAAAAGACGAAAAAAAGAACAAATTATAGACTTCCAGTGGCGAAGCGATTAACACAAAACACGAGAGGTGTCTTTCGTGTTGCATCATGAAGAGGAAAAATAAAAGAAGCAATGAAATCGTGCATTATAAAAGGCCCGCGCTTGAAAAGCTGTAGGTCGTGACTTCAAGAGCATAGAAATCTCAACTCGTGCGTCAAAAATCATTTTTTTTTTTCATTAATCACAAAAGTGAAAACTTATATTATATTGACAAAAAATAATGTGGAATTTTTGTGAGGAAAAAAATATGAGTCGCATAAAATAGACATATCAATGGCGCACACATTTAAAAACAAAAAAGAATTCGCTACGAATTTTGCGATTTTTTTTTCTTTTTATTATAGCTTTAGATCATTTGCAGATGACAGAGAGAAAAAAACAAAAAACTCAACGCTTGGAAAGCGTTTGATCACGTGGCCATAGGTAAAGTTAAATGAAGAAATGGACTTGTCATATATAAACAAAGCTTCGCCTCTCTTCCATGAAAAAATATTAACTTTCGTAATATCGTACTATACATTATATTATAAATATATAAATACATACGCGTTAAAAATTATATAGAAAATGAAAGCGAGATGAGAAGAAAAAAGAAGAAAAAAAAAAGAGAAGAATATTGGAAAAGAGGCGAAGCGACTAAAGAGATATTTATAAAGACTGTTTGAGAGTGCGTGTGTGATGCGTGCATGTGTTCCTAGAGACATACCTATCCCCAGCATTGAGCGGTAACTAGTTAATTATTAATTTTAAGTGAATGACGATCCACTTTATCGACCATCTCTCTCACTCCCCAACGAATATTGCATTAAGAATATTTCTGAAAATTTTAAATTTCTGAACTAAAGAAATTTTCAACAAATATTTAAATTTCTAAAATTTCCAAATGTCTTAAGTATTGAAAATTTTCCAAAATTTCAAATTTCTAAAGTAGAAAAATTTTCAAAGCATGAAAAATTTAAAAAAAAATTTATTTTCTTTTTTTATTTTCGTTTATTTATATTATATTTTAATACCAAAATTGTTTCGAGCAAAAGTAAAAATTAAAAAAATGTACCAATTAAGAAAAAAGTTTCCTAATAGAATAAAAAAGAGAAGAAACAACAATTTTATGGAATCTAAAATCGATTTTTGAAAATTAAAACATTTCAAGATTGCCACAAGTCAGGAAAATCGCAGAGAATTTAGGGAAAAATCAGAGAATGTAAAATTGGTGAGGAAAGTCAGAGAATTTTATCAAAAGTACTGCAAAAAATAATTAATTTCTACAATTAATAAGAAAATTCAGAAATTTGTTGTCTGGCAAATCTTTAAAAATATTAAAAAGATTTAATTTAATTTTCAATTCTTTCTATTTCTAACAATAATTGAACTTTACAGATTTAAATTTGATTCAAAATTTACAGAAATTCAACTTTAATAAAATTCCTCATAAAAATTAAATTATTCGAAAAAAATTTAATAAAATTCTTCGCACAAGATTCAATTATTTTCAATGCAATTTTAATAAAATTTCTCGAAACAATTCAATTATTTTTTAATAAATTTACATAAAGTACAAAGAATTCAATTCTTTTCACTTCAAATTTCAATTAAATTCGTCGAAAAAATTCATTTATTTTTAATAAATTTAAATATAATTCTAACAATTGGATTATTTGCAATAAAATTTTACTTAAATTCGTTGAAAAAATTAGCAAAAATTCAATTATTTTCATACTTATAAATAAAATTTTTTGCCGAAATTCAATTATTTTCAATTAAATTTTAATTAAATTCCTCGAGACAATTAAATTATTTTTAATAAATTAAAAAAAATTCAATGTAAGAATTGAATTATTTTCAATAAAATTTTCATTAAATTCGAAAAAAATTGCTAGAATTCAATTATTTTTATACATATATAATAAAATTCTTCACAGAAATTCAATTATTTTAAAAATAATTTTAATAAAATTTCTGGAAAGAAATGAATTATTTTTAAACAGTTTTATAAAATTCTTTATAAAAGAATTCAATTATTTTCAATACCAATTTAATAAAATTTAACGAAACAATTCAATTATTTTTAATAAATTTACATAAAATACTGAAAATTCAATTCTTTTCACTCAAATTTTAATTAAATTCGTCGAAAAAATTGAATTATTTATACTAAAATTTAAATATAATTCTAAGAATTAAATTATTTTCGATAAAATTTTAATTAAATTTTTTGAAAAGATTGTCAAAGATTCAATTATTTTCATACTTATAAATGAAATTTTTCGCAGAAATTCAATTATTTTCAATTAAATTTTAATTTTTCTCAAAACAATTCAATTACTTTTTAATAAATTTAAATATAATTCTAAGAATTTCTTCACAGAAATTCAATTATTTTCATACATAATAAAATTCTTCACTCAAATTCAATTATTTTCAAAATAATTTTAATAAAATTTCTCAAAAAAATTCAATTGTTTTTAAACAATTTTCTAATGTTCTTTAGAAGATTTCAATTAATCTGAATACAGTTTTAAAAAATTCCTCAAGAAATTTAAATTATTTCCAAAATTCCCATAAGATTCATCAAAACAATTAAATTATTTTTAAAAATTTCAATAAAATTCTATTCAACATTTTAAATATTACAGATTCAAACGTATAAAAAGTTACAAAAATTTAAAAAATTTACGAAAAATTTTAGTTTTTAAAATAGAAAAAATTTCACCTATTAACACAAAATTGTGGAAGAAAAGTTAATTTAAAAATTTTTTTTTCAATTATTTTATCACAAAACTTGTTTTCTAAAGACTTTTGTAAAAATGTGAACTAATTTTAATTAAAAATTCTGTAAAATTTAGTTTTTTAAAATTATTTTTATTCAAATTTTTTTTAAATTTGTCATATTTTTCAATATATATTTAATTGAAAAATTTTCAATTTATGGAAGTTTCAGGAAATCCAAACAAGTGGATTTCAAAAATATTTTATGTTAATTTTGTTTCTTCAAATAAATAATTGATTTTTTAAGGAACTTTCTCAAGAAATTATTAAAAATAATTGAATTGGTGAAGAATTTCAGTTTGAAAATTCTAGAAAATAACTGAATTGAAATCATGAAAATAATTTTTGATAAATTACAGTAGCCTAACAGTTCTTGAAAATTATTCAATTTCAAAGGATTTGAAATTTTTCAAAATCTTAATTCCTTTGGAAAAATAATAACAATGATTAAATATTTATTTAAAAAATAAAACTGTTGATGTTCTGAATAGTTTTACATAATATTAAAGATATTCAAAAATAAATGTTATCCAATAATTTTTTTTGAGCATCTAATTATTTTTAGATTGAATTAAAATATTCTTGATGGTCAGGGATAAACCTATAATTTTTTTTGTCCTTGGTTCTTTTAATTTCAATTATAATTATTAAATAGTTGACTTCAGTAGTTAATTATAATTATATTAAAATATATAATAGTTGCTCAAATATTTCGATGGAAATTATATTTTTTTAAATTGTTAATTAGGTATTTTTAATTTTATGTTTGGTCCACCAAGTTTTATCGTCCATTTTGGATTTTTAGAATTAAACATGAAAAATTCTCCAAGGATAAAACAAAAATTAAAAAATTCTTTCATTTATGTGCAACATTCGTTTTGGAGAAAGTCGAAGCGAGGGGACGATTCGATCTTCCTAAACTAAAAGCTTTTTGTATAGTAGCATCCAAAGTAAAAAAAAAAAAAATGGTCCCCTCGCTGCAAAAAAAGTGTGAACGTCATTCGTAAATTTCGCGATTCTCGAAAAAAAAATTGTATTATAGAAAACGGAAGAAGACTTTTAGCTTCTCGAAACCTAACAATTTTATTTATATAAATAACAACTTAGTTATTTACCAAGCGACAAAGTCTAATTCATGTGCGTGTGTCTCGCGTTATCATTTACATATATTATGTACGATTGCCTCGTGGTAAAATATTTTCGTGTCTCAAAAAAAAAAAATCAATCAAAAAAAAAAAGAAAAAAAAAACTAAAACAAGTTTTTTTTTGATAAACAAAAAGAAAAACTGAAGCGAAATTTTCCACGAAAATTTTATTAGTCTGAGGCGCTTGCATATGTAAGATCCGTGTACAAAGTCTTTTACCCGTAAGTTTTTTGTGTTGTAAAGTTCACATAATCATAGTGTCTAGGTACTGGCTAAGTCTATTACAAGAAGTTAACCGTAGAGTCATGAATTTAACCACCGATAGCTGATCCGTATTTGCCATCATCACACATGTAAAACACACAAACACAAAATAAAAAAATATAAAATAAATAAATAAATAAATAATAAATACAGCAACACGCCTATAAAACACAAACTACGGAGTATATCGTACTATTTTCCACGTATGGCAAGATCAATCGCCGAGGGGGAAAGGAAACGCAAAAAATTATATTTCTTAATTTATTTACGTTTCTTTTTTCACGATACCGCGCAAAATTTTTTAGGGACTCAAAAGCAAATGAAAAAAAACGAAACAAATTTTAATCGCAGTTTTTACTTTCTAGCGGATGGATCGAAGAAAGAAGACTGAATTTATAATATAAAGTCAAAAATACTATTCAAGAAATAATTGATAAAAAAAAGTTACTTTCTTTGGTCCATAAAATCGTGATTTTGTGATTGGATAACTTGTACGAGATAGTATCGAGACACGAAGTGTACTCATGTAATTCAGCATTACTACCTATAATTAAATAGTTGTTATTGTAAAATCTTTGGTCTATTATTTAATAATTTACCCTCTCCTCAAATGTTTTCCTGAAATACATTTTTTGCCTAACTTCTTTTCCTCAATATTATTCAATTTCAATTCATATTCACTTATTTTCAATTGAATCTATTTAAAAAATATGGAAATAAAAAAATGTAAAATAAATTTTTGTTATTAAATTAAGAGTTAAATTTTGTTATCAAGTTTAATCCATATTCAATTATTTTCAAAATTATTTTCAAAACTTTTTTTTAATTTATGAAACTGAACGCTACTTTTTTCTTTTTTTTTTAATTTTCACTACTTTAAATTTGCTAGTAGTTGAAATAAAAATATTATTCTTAAACATTTTAATAAAATACTTTGAAACAGTTCAATTATTTTCAAAAATGTTTTAAAATCCTTCGTGGGAATTCAATTATTTTCAATTTTCTCAAAAAGAATTCAATTATTTTTAATACATTTTCAATTAAAGTATTCGAAATAATTGAATTATTCTATTAAATTACCATAAAATGATTCAAAAAATTTAATTATTTCCAAAAATTTTTAATAAAATTCTTCGCGAGAATACAATTTTTTTTAAAATAATAAAATTTTTCACAGAAATTCAATTATTTGAAATATGATTTTTGAGAAAATTTTTTAATAGAAATTAATTATTGTCTTTTTTTAAAAGATTCTTTAAAATAAATTAATTCTTTTCAAAAGTTTCGGTAACATTTGTTTGACATTCATTGCAAGTATTCGATTATTTTTAATACACTTTTAATTAAATTATTTGAAATAATTGAAAAGTTCTTTTAAATTTTAACAAAATGATTCAAAAAAATTCAATTATTTAAAAAAAATTTCATAAAATCCTTCACGAGAATTCAATTATTTTTACAAATTAAAAACTTGATAACAAGAATTCAATAATTTAAAAAAGTTTAATAAAAATCGTTGCAATAATTCAATTATTTTTAATTAAAATTAAATTAAATTATTCGAAATAATTGAAATGTTCTTTTAAATTTTCATACAATGATTCAGAACATTTAATTATTTCCAAAAATTTTAATGAAATCCTTCACAAAAATTTAATTATTTTTACAAGTAATAAAATTCTTTACAGGAATTCAAATATTGCAAAAAATTTGGCAATAACATTCATTGCAAA